TAAATCCTGGGCTTTTATCTTTTCTTTCTTTTTCTTTCTTTTTAAAAAGTAGTTTCACACACACACACACACACACACACACACACACACAATATGCACTGGTCCGGGTAGACAAATGGTGTAACCTCCAGGATAAGGTGGTTTCATGTCTACCTATCGCTAATCTTTGGAAATAGCCAAGGAAGAGGATGCTGACAAGCTGGAACCATGTACAGAGGAGGGCAACCAAGATGACCAGTGGTCTGGAAACCAAGACTTATGAGGAATGGTTGAAGGAGCTGGGTATGTTTAGCCTGGAAAAGAGGAGGCTGAGAGGAGATATGAGAGCCATCTTCAAATATCTCAAGGACCGTCACATGGAACTTGGAGCAAGCTTGTTTTCTCCTGCTCTGGAGGGTAGGACTCGAACCAGTTACTTCAAACTACAAGGAAGGAGATTCTGACTAAACATCAGGAAGAACTTTCTGACAGTAACAGCTGTTTGACAGTGGAACCGCCTCTCGCAGGAGGTTGTGGACTCTCTTTCCTTGGAGGTTTTTAAGCAGAGGTTGGGTGGCCATCTATCATGGATGCTTTAGTTGAGATTCCTGCATTGCAGGGAGTTGAACTATAGCCCTTGGGGTCCGTTCCAGCTCTACAGTTCCATGCTTCTATGATTCTATCCTCAAACTTTTATTTATGTCAGCATCCTTCGTCTTCCTTTCATCGCCTGCCCTGTTTGATTAGCTGCATCTCCTGTTGTTGGAAAGTGATTGGTTTTAAGCCTTGCCGTTCAGAGATGAGTGCTGATTTGGAGGGGAGGGCAGGAAAGGCCAGCTCTTGACAGAGGCTCTGACAGGCTGGCTTGGGGAATTACATCCCTACCCATCAATTGTTCTCCCCAAGCCAAGCAGGGGCTGCTATCTCTGAATTAAAGTGACCTCAAACAGTGACCACCAGAATGATTGGTTTGCTTTACCTGCCAATGTGCTTACTGAGACATGGTGAGGTCACTGCAATTTACACCTGCCTGCCTCGATCCACGTTGTTAATCTGTGAGAATTTTTCAAGCCAATGGTGATTTCTTTAAAAAAAGGAAAGTATCCATGAAATAGAGCTACTGGGAGACATGCGTACGCTTCACTTGTCTCCTAGTAGTTCAGTGATAGAGCATGTAGAAGCTATGGGTTCAATCTTTGGCATAGTTCATTGAATTGTTAAAATTTTGATACCACTCAACTAGGGATGGGTGAGTCTGTCCCAATTTTGGTTTCTCTCAGTTTCTGTTCAGTTCTCCACATTTCAATTTGTGGTTTTTCTCTGAATTTTGCAATGCATCTCTCCAACCAATAAAGGCACATAAGTTTGCACAAAAGTCCGCATGGTCATTAAAAAGACACGCAACATGCATTACATTGTAGCAAATTGTTTTGCAAAGATGTGCATATCAATCAAAACTGTGTACCAAAATGTGTGTAATTAGGAGACATTCGCTCTCAAAGGCTGCCTGGTTTTCATGAGGTTTTGTTTTTGAAAGGAACAAAATAAAATTGCAATTTGCTGCAGGAATGTGCAAACGTGAATTTACGACTGGGAAAATGAGAAATGGAGAGAAACCAAAATTGACAGATTCGCACATCCTTAGTCTCAACTGAACAGGGGTTTGGAACTGACAAGGGGAGCCCCATATGTGATCCTAATAAAGCAAGCAGGCTTATGTGAGTAATGGGGGCCTTTTAGCAGCCCTGCTCCTAAGCCGAGTAGTGCTTTAAAGGTCATAGCCAGCACTTTGAATTTGGTTACACGAGTCGATGAATTTATCTCTCAGAGTTTAGTAGGGGATTTGTGGGGAAATGGCAGTCTGTTGCCTATAGTTCACCCCAGCACTGCACAGCGAAATACTATTGTGGCTCATAGATGCGTGTGCAAAAATATACGTATAAAATAACATGAAGCAATGTTGCAAGAGAGCAACTTCCCTTTTCCTCCCTCCCTCCCCTGTAGTTCAAGGCCCTTGGATTCCATGAAGTAATTGTCTAAGCCTTAGCCTCTACGGGAAAGACATCGCAAGCGAACCAAATAATTAGTTTTTGCTCCAGCGATTAATATAACTCACAAACAGGTAATCTCAGCCCAAACAGGCATGTCTGCAGCAGCCTGTCTTCAAGAGAGGGGAGGGTGGCAGGCAGCAGACCCCATTTCCAGTATTAGAAAACATTGGCAGCTTCCCCCAAAACGGAGCGTGGCACCTGGAAAGTTGTAGGATCCTGCAGGATTCAGGCTAGGAGATCCAAAGAGAGCAGGATCTCTCTCATTTTCTCTCTGCCCTGACCCTCCTAAACAGTATGCTTGTAAGCACCATGCCAAAAAAATTTCGAACCTTTCAAAAGCTGCTGAAAGGAATGCCGCCATCTTATTTATTTGCTGGATCCATTTTTATCACCCCTTTCCAAACTGGCGCCCACTATCTTTAATTTCCAGATATTTTTGTTCTGGCAAGCCTTTCCAACTAGTGTGTGAATGAGTTTTTACCATGGGTGTCTACTTGGTAATTTATTTATTTTTTTAAGTTGTGCTCTGTTTGTTGTTGTTTTTAACCCGTTTTTTAAAGCTGTTTTTATTATATTTTGTACATTGCCTTGAGGCAGATGTGGAAGGCGTTACAGACTCCCTCGCCCCAGAATGAGAACTGGGTAACCTGACCGTTTTTCTGTGTGTTTAAAAAAAACAACAGCTCTCCCTGTTAGCAACACTAGAGAGGTCTGTTTCAGTTTTCTGTGGTACTGTTTTCCGTTATTATACCACAGCCAAGTGTTTTACTTGTGCGAAGGATGCTTTTTGGCTGCTTATTCCCCCAAAGCAGAGGTTCATTTTAATGAGGAGGCACATCTGGAACAAAACTAGACTTTTTATTTCTTTACACTCAGTGAGGTTTTTAAGCTCGATAGTTATTCAAGTGAGGCACAATGTTTAGTTTCAGGCAAATGCTCTCTACACAGAGCTTTAAAACCTTATTGAGTACTCTAATTTGAAACCTAGTCTGTGGATACTAATAGAATGGTTATTAGTATTACTATATCAGCAACAATCTCACAGCTTCTTCTGGGATTTTTTCTTTCCCCTCAGGGAATTAAACCAGGTTGCCCTGCCTAGCTAACCCCTAATTTCTCACAAGGCCCTTCCTTGTGTGCCCCTCTCCACGGGAGGTCCAGAGGACGGCAACATGAGAACAGGGACTTTTCTGTGGTGGCTCCCCATTTGTGGAATGTTCTCCCCAGAGAGGCGTGCCTGGCGCCTTCATTGCATATCTTTAGGTGCCAGGTGAAAATGTTCCTCTTCTCCCAGGCCTTTGATTAATTAAACAAGCTTTGGCTCTTAAAAATCTCTTTCTGTGTGATTGTTTTGTTTCTTATTGTGTTATGTATTTACATGGGGGTTATGTTCTGGGGCACCACACCATCCATGAAATCACATATTTGAAACACCATTAAAAAGCCTGCGCACACCCCATCCAGCCCCCTCCCCATTCTGCCCCTTTTTATGACGTTTTTAGTCACTTCAGGGTTTGGTGCGGACGCTATAGAAATTTAATAAATAAAAATAAATAAAATAACAAAACAGGTCCCTCTCTATCTAGATTCCTATGTAGGTGCTTTCCCAAACCCGCCCTGATCCTCGACTGGCAGTTTAACTGCCAGTTCTGAATTTTTGAATTGCCAGCTCCTAGAATCATAGAATCATAGAATCATAGAGTTGGAAGAGACCACAAGGGCCATCGAGTCCAACCCCCTGCCAAGCAGGAAACACCATCAGAGCACTCCTGACATATGGTTGTCAAGCCTCTGCTTAAAGACCTCCAAAGAAGGAGACTCCACCACACTCCTTGGCAGCAAATTCCACTGTCGAACAGCTCTCACTGTCAGGAAGTTCTTCCTAATGTTTAGGTGGAATCTTCTTTCTTGTAGTTTGGATCCATTGCTCTGTGTCCGCTTCTCTGGAGCAGCAGAAAACAACCTTTCTCCCTCTGCTATGTGACATCCTTTGATATATTTGAACATGGCTATCATATCACCCCTTAACCTCCTCTTCTCCAGGCTAAACATGCCCAGCTCCCTTAGCCGTTCCTCATAAGGCATCGTTTCCAGGCCTTTGACCATTTTGGTTGCCCTCCTCTGGACATGTTCCAGTTTGTCAGTGTCCTTCTTGAACTGTGGTGCCCAGAACTGGACACAGTACTCCAGGTGAGGTCTGACCAGAGCAGAATACAGTGGCACTATTACTTCCCTTGATCTAGATGCTATACTCCTATTGATGCAGTCCAGAATTGCATTGGCTTTTTAGCTGCCGCGTCACACTGTTGGCTCATGTCAAGTTTGTGGTCAACCAAGACTCCTAGATCCTTTTCACATGTACTGCTCTCAAGCCAGGTGTCACCCATCTTGTATTTGTGCCTCTCATTTTTTTTAGCCCAAGTGCAATACTTTACATTTCTCCCTGTTAAAATTCATCTGGTTTGTTTTGGCCCAGTTCTCTAATCTGTCAAGGTCGTTTTGAAGTGTGATCCTGTCCTCTGGGGTGTTAGCCACCCCTCCCAATTTGGTGTCATCTGCAAATTTGATCAGGATGCCCTTGAGTCCATCATCCAAGTCGTTGATAAAGATGTTGAATAAGACCGGGCCCAAGACAGAACCCTGTGGCACCCCATTAGTCACTCTTCTCCAGGATGAAGAGGAACCATTGATGAGCACCCTTTGGGTTCGGTCAGTCAGCCAGTTACAAATCCACTGAGTGGTAGCATAGTCAAGACCGCATTTTACCAGCTTCTTTACAAGAATATCATGAGGCACCTTGTCAAATGCCTTGCTGAAATCAAGGTAGGCTACATCCACTGCGTTCCCTTCATCTACCAGGCTTGTAATTCTGTCAAAAACGAGATCAGGTTAGTCTGACATGACTTATTTTTCAGAAATCCATGCTGACTATTGGTGATCACAGCATTCCTTTCTAGGTGCTCACAGACTGTTTGCTTAATGATCTGCTCCAGAATCTTCCCTGGTATTGATGTCAGACTGACTGATTGGCTGATGTTCGATCCTCCTGATTGTCTGATGTTCGAATCATCTCCGATTGGTTGCTGGGTCACCAGGAGGCTGGGCCAGGGTCCATCCATCACAGAAGGTGATCAATTCATCAACAGCAATTGTAACTGTCGGGGTCCCATGGTCTCAGCGGGGCCTTGGGCCTTGAGGTGGCGTGAGCCACCCTTTTAATTTTCCCACCAACTTACTCCAGTGCATTGTGGGGAATTTTAAGCGAGGGGGTGCAGCTATCCACATCTGGCCCTGATCTGGGAGCATGAGTTTGCCATGTTCATCACATTGGTTGTGAAAGCTGCCCCCGTGATATTCCAAGACAGTGCATTCAGCTCCTGAGAGTTTCGTTTCTCATGCGCTACGGAGAGAGGGAGGCCTATGGCCGCTGAGAAACGTTGCTTGGCGAGTTCCCGCGCCTCCCCCAGTGGAAATAAAGACACATGACACAATTATTAAGGTTAATGATCTAAATAAGGCCACAACTTTATTGGTTACAGGTGATGAGTGGTATTGGCTTAGGCATTGGTCCTAATCGACTATATCCGGCTTCAGCCCGTCTGCTTGAAGTCCGGGAAGGGTTAACCACCAGTAGGGGGTGTCCTGCTGATGCACATCAACTAGGAACCCCCCTGGGGTAACCGCTTGGGGGCGTGCCTTAGGCCCTCACCTCCATAGGCTTCGGACAGGGCCACGCCCCCCAGAATCCTTTACTGGACTGCCCTTCAATATGCGGGGCAGGTGATGGTGCTTCCTCCCCTCTTCCATCTACAGAACAATACCAATGCCTAACCGCCAATACCCAGAAAATTGTGACGATTTGCTACCAGGTAGGCGAAAACCAAGTGGCTGGTGCCAGTTTACCAAGTGGAAAAATTCCCACCAGGCCCTTCAACGGTGACCAACCAAGGTCCATAGCAAGGTCAAGGAACAAAAACCTTATAGGGCGGGAGGGTGGGAAACAGGAACAGCTGGTAGGCAGCAAAAGAGGGAGATTCCTGGCCACGCCTTCCTTAAATAGGACAGGCCACTCCCCCAGAGCCAGCCGATTGGCTGGCCAGGGGGTGACACGGCTGGGGATTCCCCCAATCGCGCGGGGGAGGGGGCGTTACGCCCGCAACCCCTACCTCCTCTGCAGGGCGGAAGTGGCTTTTTAGGAAATAGCAGTTGGGATTCTGAGCCAAGTTTTCCTATTTGTCCGCATGGAGTAGTCAACCCTGCTGCTGTGTAACGAGGCACAACTGGAATGATCCGTGCCGATATTGAACACGGCTCGTTTTGAGCTCTTCCCGGCCGCTGGCTGGTGCACATCTCTCAGGCGGGCATGAATTGATCGTATTGATTGGGGAGTGTTTGGCGCCTGTAGCTGGTTCAGGTGCAACGATCGATTCCCTGCATGTGTGTGTTTTACGACACACAAACCCTCCCGCTTATGGCAGGAAGAGATCAGCGGCTCTGACGTGGAGCAGCTGCCAGAGAGGCTTGCAAAGGAACCGTGTGTGTCTCGCTCCTGACATTTGAAGGGGGGGGGGACCAAATCCATTTTAGAAATTGATTTATGCTTTAATCGGTCTCAGGGCTTCATTATGCTGTCCATTAGCCCGACTGATCCAGGGGCCTTATGTGTTAATGCGCTGAGCGAGCGCTTGATGGGTTTGTCTTTCATGTGTGACCCAAACAGCTCAGTGATCCATCTCCCCTGCCATTGATTTATTAATGATGTCTTAGTTATTGAAGGGGGGGCGCTTTTATAGTGCCTTCCTGTCACATGCGTCCCCTCGAGGAACCATGGGTCGGGGGAAGCTTCCCCCCGTCTTCAAACCCCCATTTCCATTCCTCATAAGGCGGAAGTAAAAACTCCCCCAAAATAAGGAACAGAGATTAAACGCAGCACAGAAAAAACCTCAATGCGATGTAACCTTATTGCAAGCAGAAAGAATGGAATCCACAACTAAATTTTTGCTCTCTTTGTGTGTCTTTCAGAGAAAAGAAAAAACACAGTGCACACACAAAAAGACACCGGGGGGAACTACTTGCATGAACTATAAATTAAGCTAAGAGGGTGTTGTTGATTTATTAACTGCGGTGTCCTCCTCATTGGGGGGGGGGTCTGCTTTTATAAGGTCTTTCTGCCATGTGTCTCCTAGAGGAATGTGAAGAGGAGGAACCTCCATTTTGTCAAACCTTCATTTTCATTCTGAAAGTATCATCTCACAGGAGGACTCTACAGTTCATGGGCTGTTTTTGTTCTGGAGCGCATGAGTCGCTCTCAGTTCCCCGTTCCTTACACTGCAATCAAGAGTCCTAGATTTTAGTATCCTAGGATAAAAATCACCTTTATAATAATAATAATAATAATAAATTTATTATTTATACCCCGCCCATCTGGCTGAGTTTCCCCAGCCACTCTGGGCGGCTCCCAATCAAGTGTTAAAAACAGTACAGCATTAAATATTAAAAACTTCCCTAAACAGGGCTGCCTTCAGTTGTCATTTAAAGATAGGATAGCTACTTATTTCCTTGACATCTGAAGGGAGGGTGTTCCACAGGGCGGGCGCCTCTACCAAGAAGGCCCTCTGTCTGGTTCCCTGTAGCTTTGCTTCTCGCAGTGAGGGAACTGCCAGAAGGCCCTCAGCACTGGATCTCAGGGGGTGAACGATGGGGGTGGAGACGCTCCTTCAGGTACACAGGACTGAGGCCGTTTAGGGCTTTAAAGGTCAGCACCAACACTTTGAATTTTGCTTGGAAACGTACTGGGAGCCAATGCAGATCTCTCAGAACCGGTGTTATGTGGTCCCGGCGGCCACTCCCAGTCACCAGTCTAGCTGCCGCATTCTGGATTAATTGCAGTTTCCGGGTATCCTTCAAAGGTAACCCCACATAGAGGGCGTTGCAGTAGTCCAAGCAGGAGATAACTAGAACATGCACCTTGCCTTCTTCGACCAGAAATCCAGTTTCTGAATTTCAGTTATCCAGACTATACTGAATATTCTCAGATTTGGTTGTGGGGTTGTTGTTTTTTGGTGGGGAAGAGGAGAAATTCTAGCAATATTCATGGCAGAGAAAACTGGAAGATGGGGTGAATGCGTGCCTTTCCCCCAGTCCAATTTGGCTCCCATTTTCTTTTTTACTTTTTTTCCTTTTTGCTACGGTGGCTAAATATTCTTTCTGCCTGAAGTGGCTTCCCCCTTTTTTGGTTAGACAAGTGGGTGATCCTTATCAGGGATTGTGTAATGAATTTTAGTAGTCACAGCTCCAAATAACCAGTCAGATTTGGCTATATGACATGATGACGTCACTGGGGGCAAGTGAGGGCAACTGCTTCAAATCTACCTTGGAGGCCCTTCTCCGGGTCTCACTGCCATCAGAGGTGAGGAGAACCATGGCAGGATGAGGGCAGCCTTGCCCAACCTGGTGACCATCACTCCCAGTCAAAATGGCATACAAGAATAGTATACAGTGGTACCTCTGGTTGTGAACGGGATCCATTCCGGAGGCCTGTTTGCAACCTGAAAAGAACACAACTCGCATCTGCGCACGTGCGGGTGGCAATTCGCCACTTCTGCACATGCGCGTGACATCATTTTGCACTTCTGCGCATGCACGAGCGGCGAAACCCAGAAGTAACCCGTTCTGGTACTTCCGGGTCGCCACGGGACGCAACCTGAAAACGCTCAACCTGAAGCAAACGTAACATGAGGTATGACTGTATGAGGAGAAAATTGCGCTGAAATGCTGGTGAATTTCCAAGGCTGCAAATACAAATTGTTGTGGCAACATGGAGAACTGAAATTAAGATGGGGAAGGTGAGAAGATGAAAGTGGCAGATCCATTCATCCCTACTCTGGAGGGCATCACCATTGGCTGCCACTGAATTACCGTACACACATGTGCATGTACACAATCTCACTCAGCGATCGACGTGCAAGAGCCGTGCATGCATGCGGCAGCTACATCCATGGAGGAATTTCTTCGCTTCTGTGAAACGAGGCTCACTGTGTGGTCTGGGTGAACTTTGGGTGCCTTCCAGTAGTTTGTTTCCAGAGTGTAGATGCTCCACGATAACTTGTACTTCCAGCTGCATTAGCTTCACGTCAGCGCTGCAAAACCGGCCTCTTGATAAACATCCCTTCCCTTCTGATAATTCATTTGGAAAGAGCTCATGCGAGGCAAAGCCCACTGTGTATTTTCCTTAGGAACTGTGTGGGTTTATTTATTTATTTTTTTGGAGGGAAATGTGTTCACTCTTCTTGGCAACCTTGAGCTGTTTGTGTGTCCAGACCAGTTTTAGGCCAGGCTTCCTGCAAAGTGCATGTCTTGTCTGTTACTGAATGAATTTACTTTATTGTGGTCACAGACCAGCATAAGCAAAACATCTAAATAAATAGCATAACAGTATGAATCTAAGTGGATAATTATTAAATAAATGGGAGCAAAAGCCAAACGTAGATTGAAACATATACATAGAATACTTGATTAAGCATAAGTAATGAGTGAGTAAAAACTAATAAGAAAAATTAAGAGAGACCAGTTAAAACAGCTCTATGGGGTGGAGCTTCAAAAGTGCAGATCTAACAATATGGGCCTTCAATTTAGGACTGATTTGTAGCATAGACCATCCTTCGACGAATATCTATCACGTCTGTTATTGACCAGATTAATTAACGAACTCTGAGTACTTATGCAAGCAGGTGAAGACTTTCTTGTTCCAATAGGTTTTTTGGGAACCGACTGCTTTCAATGAAAGGGCTGGTGCTGTGCTATTTTTATTGTTAATTATTTGTAATGGTTTTAATAGATTATATATATAGATGCATAGTTTTAATTCTACCAATGTTCAGTTGTTTTTTAATTATTGTATTTCTCCTCCGTTTTTAACAGTTCTTATTTTTAGCGGTAAGTCACTTTGCGTCCCATCGGGGGAAAGGTGGAGTATAAATAAATAAAAATAATAAATCAATAAATCAAGGAGAAAACCAAATGTTCTCAAGAACAAAAGCACACTTACTTTGTTTTAAAATGACAACTGTCATCTTAAGAACTGTCCTCCTTTGCCTCCCTTATTGGCGAGGAAGCATTGCCTAAGAAGGAGACTGTGTCTGTACGCTTTAGAATTAGTCATAAAAATAATAATTAAACATCTGCTGGCTGGTTAATTGGGGTCATCTCTTTCGTTAATAATTCAAATACTTTAACGACAACTTTACAGTCAGGCTGCAGTTTTTTGTTAATTAATTTGTTAGGTTTTGGTTAAAGTAGTTTACAATGTAAAATGAAAGCAAGTCAGGTTAATGTTTCAGTGATAGTTGCTAACTGTAATGGCAGGTCACGCAACTGTGTCTTTGAAAGCACTTTGATGTGCAGATGTGAGGAGGCAGTAATGCTTATCTCCATGCCATGAAAACCTTCGGTTTCTGATCTCTCTGCATGCTGAAATCAGGCAGATGTTCAAGGCGCAAAGCACCAGGCAAAAATCTGGACGCAAGATGAAATTTCGGAGATATCAAATATCTGAAGGGCTGTCCCATGGAAGATGGAGCAAGCTTGTTTCCTGCTGCTCCAGAGGGTAGGGCCTGAACCAATGCATTCAAATCGTAAGGAATGAGATTCTGGCTAAACATTAGGAGAAACTTTAGGACAGTAGAAACTACTGGGTTTTCCCAGTAATGATGTATGGAAGTGAGAGCTGGACCATAAAGAAGGCTGATTGCCGAAGAATTGATGCTTTTGAATTATGGTGCTGGAGGAGACTCTTGAGAGTCCGATGGACTGCAAGAAGATCAAACCTATCCATTCTGAAGGAAATCAGCCCTGAGTGCTCACTGGAAGGACAGATCCTGAAGCTGAGGCTCCAATACTTTGGCCACCTCATGAGAAGAGAAGACTCCCTGGAAAAGACCCTGATGTTGGGAAAGATGGAGGGCACAAGGAGAAGGGGACGACAGAGGACGAGATGGTTGGACAGTGTTCTCGAAGCTTCCAGCATGAGTTTGACCAGAATGCAGGAGGCAGTGGAAGACAGGAGTGCCTGGCGTGCTCTGGTCCATGGGGTCACGAAGAGTCGGACACGACTAAACGACTAAACAGCAACAACAAACTGTTCAGGAGTGGAACAGACTGCTTTGGGAGGTGGTGAACTTTCCTTCACTGGAGGTTTTTAAGCAGAGGTTGGGTGACCACCTGTTAGAGATTCTTTAGCTGTGATTCCTGCATTTCAGGAGGTTGGACTAGATGACTCTCGGGTTCCCTTCCAACTCTACAGTTCTGTGATTCAAGACCTTTGCAAAACCAACCAGCCAAAAGCCAAAACAGCATAAGGAAGCTCTGCCCAGAATACATTTCCCATTGAAAGACCTCAGGAAAGATGAATCAACAACCCCTCTAAAACTGTGAATGAGTAGCAAACTTAGCTGGGAACGGGACATTCTGGCCCTGTCTCACCTCTTCAAAGCCCGCTGCCTCTCCTGTGAAAAGGAAGGATACAATCTGCATCGGAGATCCTACGGTTGCTTAACCCTTTCCTCATGCACCAGTTTCTTCCTGCATCTCTCCAGATAGTAGGTGCTTAGCAGGATAAAAGGTTAGGTGCCCACATCCGGACTGAAGCTTCTCTTCTGCTAATCACAGCCTCCCTGTCCTGCTGTGAGTGAGGGAGAAGCAACTCCAGACTTTGAAAGTCTTGTGTTTAGCCATTTCAGAGAACATGCACCACACTTGCCGGCTTTGACCGGGTGCTCTGCAAGTTAAGCTACTGACATATCATCAGGGATGCTAGCAGGCCATTTCCTTTGTTAAGCAGATGGCAGGTTAATATTCCAGGAAAATCAGCTGATTATGTTTTCATCAGCAGGTTAGGTTAGGACAACTTTCGTCAACCTGGCTGCCCTTAGATGTTTTGGAATATAATTGTCATAATCCCCAGTTAGGGGCAGATCTACAATGAAACTAACAAAACTTAAAATTCAGAGCCCTTAATCCCAGAAGTTTTAAAATTTTGGCTCTAGTAGATCCAATTTTAGTTACACAACTCTCATATTTTTGAAGACTCAGAAGAGAAGCCTGAAGGTAAACGAGATGCAAGGAGTTTATACCACAAGTTGGGAAAGATGGAATATGCTATTTATTTATTTTTAGTTTTTTGGGAAGAAGTGCTGGAGCGTTTGAAAAAACAAGTAGGAAACTCGAAACGCCTGGTATTTAAAGGTTGTCTCCTGCTATCTACTTTCATTTGTTAAAGAACTCAGAGAAAATTCAGCCAATAGGAATGCACACTGTGAATCAGAAGCTAAAGGTTAGTGTGAAGATACCACCCTAAGTTATTCCGATGCTTCCAAACACATTGTTACGAATAATTTTTCAGATGGAACAAGTGGTATTGCTTTTTTGATAGGAGCTGACAAATTTATATCAGCTCAATGACTGCTTGACAATCTAGCTGAGCAAGAGGTTTGACCCATATGAGCAGGTTATGAAAAGGTTCAAATTTCTCCCAGAACTGGTGAACAATCCTGAAATTAATGAGGACAGTATTAAACTGATTAGTATCGTATCACAAAGACAACATTGACCTCAAATTAGTAAATGAGTGTTATCAGTTCAAAGAATATTTGCACTTTGGGAAATCCCAGAAGAAAACACGCCATCTAAAATGCAATGCACAGAGGTTCTGCAGCTTATTTGTGACCAAAACCTAATTGAAGTGTTCCCCAATATTACTACTGCACTTAAGCTGTACTTGACATTGCCTATCATGAGCTATGAAGCAGAAATTGATTTTTCAAAGCTATCCTTTATAAAGAACAAATTTCAATCTACCATGACTGAAGAGTGCTTAAATTCTTCAAGCATATTGTCTCTAGAAAATGGCATTGCAAGGAAGTTCTCATATGATGAAACTGTATGTATGTTGCTAGAAAAACCAGAAAAAATAGTATTTTGTAAAATGTGCTTCATGTAGTATTTAGTCTCATAGGTGTCTAAAATAAAATGTTGTGTTGACTGTAGTGTTTTGTTTTGTTTTGCTTAGTTTTGTTTTGTTTCACCATTCTATGAGGCATCATGTTTGTATATAATTTCCCTAATTTCCATCCCTAACATAACTTGAAAACTATAAGGCATAGGACATTTTTATTCACACCAGTGACTTTGACATGTGAGATAATCCAGTACTGTATGCCAATTTTAAGGAAAAACTGAGATGTGGTAGTTATTATTATTTTTTAATTGTGGTGATCTGTCATGGAACAACCCCACTGAAGAAGATAACAGCTATTGTTGTTGGTGTTGTCTGTTAGATTTATATACCATCCTTCATCATACGATCTCAGGGCGGTTCACAGAATAAAACTTTACCCATGTATAAAAGGTTACCCAGACCTCATTGCTGGTTGCAAAGGGGCTCACAGGGGAGTTATGGGTGCCCAGTGCACATGACGTCATTGATGTCATGTTGTGATGTGACCTCATGACATCACACACACATACACCCCCAGCTTCAGAACCTGACTTCTGGTGGCACCGGAAGTCAGGTTATGTGACCTTGCGAGACCTCTGAAAGCATCTCCAAGGCCTTGTGAGGCACCAGAAGTTGCGTTGGGGGCCATGTGGTGTGAGTGTTGAGCACCCACAACAAAATTGTTGCGGGTGCTTGGGCACCCAGAGCCCCTTACAGTTGGCACCCCTGGGGACCCCCATAACAGTTCAAGCTTCCAGCGTTCCAAAAATGTAGGTCCCCCACTGGCTCCAGTCAGCACAGCTGTGCTGACTTGGGGATGATGGGAGTTGTAGTCCTAAACATCGAGAGGGGAGCACCTTGTTGGAGGTTTGGTTACGTGATGGTTTCTTGATGAGAAACGCATCTCTGTGCTTCAGTGCTCTATATGAGTTCAGAGAATGCCCTCTGTGCTTTAGCTAGCTAAGGGGGAGCAGGCAGACGTAAGCTGTTTCTCTCTCTCTCTCTCTCTCTCTCTCTCTGTGTGTGTGAAAGAGCAAAAAAGCCACTTCCGCTTTCGGGAGAAGGTGGGGTTGCAGGCTTCACGGCCCCTCCATGCGCGCGGTGGGTGAAGGCCAGCCCCATGCGATTGGGGGATTCCCGGCCGCATCACCCCCTAGCCGGCCTTTGCTGGTGCCGAGAGCTAACCGTGCGACGAGGTCCGAGTCCAGTCCGAGGTCGAGGGTGTGGTATGGAGGCTGTCCGTCAAAGCTGAAGCTGGGTCCAAGGCGGGGAGTCAGGTGAGGTCAGGAACTCTGGCAGAAGAGCAGGACAGGGTGCAGGCAGGAACAGGCTACCAACAACGTTGCTCCCGCAACCTGGGACTGGGGCTGACTGGCTTTTATCTGCCTTGAGGCATAGGGAGGCCCCGGTCCACAGGTGACTCGCCTCTCCTGGCCTGGAGGCGAGCACTCCTCCTGTGGGAACTTAGTTCCCTCCGCCTTTCTGCCCTGCAGCTCAGGAGAGGCTGGAGGGTTACCGGACCCAGAGGCAACCTCAGCTTCCCCTGACGGGGCTGAGAGTGGAGCACCTGCAGGCAATGGGTCCTCCATCACCTCAGGAGCCAGAGCAGACTCAGCTGGTGCCTGCACCTGAGGATCCAGCACAGGTGAGGACCCTTCAGGCTCATGCCCCAGCCCTGGCTCAGCTGGTTCTGGAGGCGGGGACTCCTGTGCAGGCTGGGATTCCTCAGGTTCAGCCTCCGAGTCCGAATCCCAGGCCGTCGCATGGCCAATCGGCTGGCTCGGGGGCATGGCCTGCACTATAAAGGCAGGACACGGCCAGGGATCTCCCTCTTTGCCACCCGCCAGCTGTTCCTGTTTTTGACTCCTTCTTCCGACTCTCTCTCTCTCTCTCTCTGTGTGTGTGTGTGTGTGAAAGAGCAAGAAGAATCAGTTCTGCTGAGGCATTACTTAACCATGCATCACAGGCAGAAGAGGAAGAGGATGGGGCCATCCCTCATGAATCCTCCTGCCCACATGTTGGAGGCAAAGGCCTGTCTTGGTGAGCCTGCAAACACACACACACACACACACACACACAAATGCTGGACCCTGTTTGCTCAGGGTGTGAATTGCCATAGAGCAAGCTCCCTGCTCCAGACTTCTTCTTCCCTTGTGTGGAGGCTGAGGTCATCAGGGGACATAATTTTGAGGGTGGGGCTGGGGATTGGGACCATGCTCTCCCACCTCTCACACCGGGGAGCCTGTGAATGATTAGCATCCAACCGCGGCAAGAGACACATGGAAAAAGCGTGGGGTAAACCTGGAGAAAAAGCACACCCTAAAGAAGAAAATGTGGGGATTTTGGGATACCAGCAAAAAGCTTTAGGCATCATGGGATCACAGTGGGGGATCTGCAAGGGCAGTCAATCTTTTAATGTCATTTGGGGGGTCTTGGGGGCCACAGTCCCCTGGTTTTCCATGTTTTATAATGTGTGGGGAGCTGCCCCTCCAAAAGATTGCCCTCCTACTCATGGAGGTTGATTGAAATGGAAACTGGGGGGGGGGGTTTACAGCTGATGCCCACCCCCACCGCCACTGTTGACATGTTAAATTAACCCTGCTTTCGACTGCCTACAGAAACCTCATAACAATATCCAGGTCTGTGTCGGCAGTTCTGCAGCTTGTTTCTCGCCTGTTGGTTTTTCTCTGTTCCAATAAACGCCTTGTTATTAATCCCGGAGATGGAGGAAGCTGGCAAGGCAGAGTTTCCTCCGTTCGGATCTACCTGCCTCGCCTGCAGGCAGCCAAACGGCAGCGAGGGCTGCTCATTTAATGCTGGCGGAGCCCCGCGAGAGGAAAAACCAGAGGCCTGTGCCATAATTTCCCTACCCTCCTTCCTGCCAGCGACGGCACTTCAGGGAAAGGAGGAGGTGGTTTGCACCGAAGATCATTATGCCTGAAATATGCCAGCAATTTTGCTGCCGTCTGCCAGGAGCTGTTTTGATTTCGCTGAGGGTTCACCCCCCCCGAGCAAGAAGCGTGCCATCTGATTGCAAAATCACAATATTGATCAATTCGATTTGAAGTAGAGCCAGCTGCTTAATTTCTGAGTTCTCTCTCTCTCTCTCTCTCTCTCTCTCTTGTGTGTTTCTCTTTAATCTGGCCTTGGAAGCAAGCCTGGAAACTCCAGCAAGGTGGGGGGCGGCAGGGTAAAGAAATAAAAGGAGAGCAGGAAAGAGAAAAAGGAAGCCTTGGTGTCACGATAGATTTGCAGAATGGCCGCAGTCATCGACGGTCACATTGCTATCAAGTCCCCTGGCACTTGCCAGGCAGTAATTTCCTGAACTGTGTGCCATAGCAGGATTGCTGGAGAGGCAGGAGAGAAACACCGAAGGCTGTTGCGAAAACATGGCAGGAAGCCGTTTCTGGGCGTAGGGAGGAGGTGGGGGGGGGCAAATTGGTCCATTTTGGTTTCTCTCCATTTCCAGCTTTAAGTTCGGTTCTCCACATTTGTGTGTCATTTTGCAATATTATTTTTATTGTTTTAGAAAAGTCCACATGGAAATCCACAAGCAGTTTAGCATTTACCTTTCTCCTACTCTACAAATTTTTGCAAGCGATTTTGCTTAACATTCGCATTTGGGCAAGCAGCTTCCTTCCATGTAATGCATTGTTATTTTTTTTTTTTGCATGTTATTTTCACCATTCTGTACATTTCTGTACACACTCCCCCCCCCTCCAAAAATCGTGGGCATTTTATAATTCAGGGAGGAGAACTACAATGCAAAATTCAGAGAAGTATGAATTTTGGAAGCTATCTGTGATTCTGCTAACGAATTATTTCAGAAAGTATGGATCTGCTTGCTTCACCTGTAAATGTGAATTGAGTTGGTTCCCTCCTCTTTCCCTAGTTGGAGAATATCCAGACAACGGGTGGAATTCATCGTCATGCTATGAAGAATGTTTTGTTAGTACAAGGGTTTCGGCTTGCCAGACAGAATGATTCCCTTTCTCCTCTCCCTGAACGCTGTCTCAGGGGTTCTCCTGACATGCCCCTAAAGGTAATTTGGGGTGGAGGACAACAAGAGGGGAAGCCCCATTGTGCAAGCAGAAGGCCTTGTACAGCGCTGCTTCCTCTCCTGGGGTTTCTAGTGATGTTTGCAGGCAGGTTAGATGTCATGGACTGGTTGGACGCAGAGGAATGGTGGGAGGAACCAGCTGGGAAACCACCAAGGAAAGAAGGTGCAGAGCCCAGTGAGTGGTTGTTGTTGCTGTTTAGTTGTTTAGTCGTGTCCGACTCTTCGTGGCCCCCTGGACCAGAGCACGCCAGGCCCTCCTGTCTTCCACTGCCTCCCGCAGCCTGGTCAAACCCATGCTGGTAGCCTCGAGAACACTGTCCAACCATCTCGTCCTCTGTCGTCCCCTTCTCCTTGTGCCCTCCATCTTTCCCAACATCAGGATCTTTTCCAGGGAGTCTTCTCTTCTCACGAGGTGGCCAAAGTATTGGAGTCTCAGTTTCAGGATCTGTCCTTCCAGTGAGCACTCAGGGCTGATTTCCTTCAGAATGGATAGGTTTGATCTTCTTGCAGTCCATGGGACTCTCAAGAGTCTCCTCCAACACCATAATTCAAAAGCATCGATTCTTCGGTGATCAGCCTCCTTTATGGTCCAGCTCTCACTTCCATACATCAGTGTGGTGTAGTGGTTAAGAGCGGTAGTCTCGTAATCTGGGGAACCGGGTTCGTGTCTCCGCTCCTCCACATGCAGCTGCTGGGTGACCTTGGGATAGTCACACTTCTTTGAAGTCTCTCAGCCCCACTCACCTCACAGAGTGTTTGTTGTGGGGGAGGAAGGGAAAGGAGAATGTTAGCCGCTTTGAGACTCCTTAAAGGGAGTGAAAGGCGGGATATCAAATCCAAACTCTTCTTCTTCTACTACTACTACTTGGAAAACCATGGCTTTAAATATACGGACCTCAGTTGGCAAGGTGATGTCTCTGCTTTTTAAGATGCTGTCTAGGTTTGCCATCGCCTTTCTCCCAAGGAGCAGGCGTCTTTTAATTTCGTGACTGCTGTCCCTTTTAATTTCGTGACTGCTGTCCATTTCTTCCCCTTCTATTTGCCAGGAGGTGATGGGACCAGTGGCCAGTGAGTGGTAGTGGGACAATAATGAGTTGTCAGAGGAAGAAGAGGGAGAGGACTGGGAAGAGGAGGTGTTGGAAGCAGAAGGGGTAACAGGGCTTAGTGAGCTGGGAGAGTCTGTGGCAGAGAGCGGTCAAGAATCAGAAGCTGAAGCAGGCAAGTAGGAGGAGGGGGGCCAAGAGGCAGAACTGAGTCAGGCTGGTGAAGTCCCCCTCCTGCTGTGATAAGCTTTCCCTCCCCCTTGTCTTCCAGGACCAGAAGAGGCATGAAGAGGGAGGAGAAGAGGTTGGCTTCACACAGGTACAGTCTCTGATTGCTGGGGGGGGGGCAGGGAGAGGAGGAGACATATACGGCTGTGGAAAGCCAGGGACTTTCAGTCTTGGCAACTGATTCACAGAACAAGACCTACAGGAGGTGAGCTGCTGCGCCCACTAGGCCTGACACTCTGCCACGTGTTTTTGCTAATCAAGAGTTAACTCCAACTTTGAGCGGTGTGATTTCATGCCGTCTCACTCTTTGACATTAGACGACATTGCATCAGAGCAAGTGGTAATGCTTTGTAGATTAAAGTGTCAGAAAACAGAACATTTTAGAGCAATGTTCTTAGGGTTTCAAAAGAAAAACAAATCAAATAATTGCTGTATGGTCAGCAGTTACTAAGCTATCCACATTGAAATTGAATTGAAATTGAAATACTTTATTGTCACTTGTACAACTTGTATACAGTGAGATTACATGAGCACCCCCCACTCAGCTCTCTTAGTCTTAATTCCCCTCGTTTACTGACGCACACCCACCAAACCCAAAAGTCAGTTGCCCTGTTGTTTTCTTTTCATTCAGCAGCCTAACAGCCCACGGATAGAAGCTGTTCTTTACCTTGTTGGTAATCATGCTTCTATATCTTCTGCGTGAGGGCAGGAGATCAAGAAAGTGCAGGCCAGGGTGTGAATCATCCCTGAGAATTTTCCTCACTCTCCTGAGGCAACGTTCTTCCACTATTTCATCCAGCGGATTCACGGGACAGCCCATAATATCTTGTGCTGTATTCACCACCCTCTGTAGGCACTTCCTATCAGAAGATGTCAAACCAGCGTACCACACCATGATGTAGTATGAAAGGACACTTTCTATTGTTGACTGGTAGAAGGAGATCATCAAATGTTGATTGACATCGTTCTTCCACAATACTCTGAGCAGATGGAGTCTCTCTTGGGCTTTCTTAACCACCTGGGTTGTATTGCCAGTTTTGTGCATGAGTAGATGAAATATTGGGAGCTCAGAGCCGCAGCGTATGAACGTGCCGCCATCTTGGAACAGATGCAATTGTTATGCACTGGGATATTTGATTTAAACATTTGATATTTCAGCATGTTTGAGAGCTTGATGTGCAATGGCATGTTAAGAAGACCCCTGCTGGATCAGACCCAAAGGCCTATCAAATCCAACATCCATGTTCCCAGTGCAATGTCAAATAATCCAGTCAGGTGCTTTTAGAAAGCCTGCAAGCAGGATATGACACAACAGTCTCTCCCGTGTTGGTGCCACAAATGCTCTTCAGAGCTTCAGCTGCCTCTGAATCAGGAATTTCCACCTAGCCATCCTGGCTATTTGCCATATCCTTTACAAATTTGACTAATGCTCTTTCAAAGCCATCTAAATCAGTGGCCACGGCATGGAATTCCATATAACAATTAGATGCACAGAGTGAGACCCTGCAGCTCAGAGTGATTTCATAAATGATTTTACATTTATTATATTAGTACCTGAATATTTGAGAGATGACACGCGATAGTATTTGAGTGCATTTGATAATGGGCACGCAATGGTATATAGTATTTGGCAGGGCAGATCGGTGTGACATACAATGGCATTTAACATTTGACAGTTTTGTGATGGCATCCATCTGTTGTGTGAGACAATGGAGGCGTGTGCCTTTTGGGGGTGAAGTCAAAATTGTAGCAGAGCTACAACACCTTATGTGGCCACAAAGATCGATATGGAAGAGAAATAAATTAAGAGATGCCAAGGAGACTATAGCTTTTGAACATTAAAGGATCTGGATGTGTTTTTGTTTCGTTTTGATTTCTGCATTCACTTGAAATGGAAAAGCCAGTGAAAAGCCAACCAATTGCGCATTTTTATTTATTTATTATTTCATTTTTATTTATGGGATTCATATCCTGCCTTTCTCATGATGGTGTGCAGTACTGTGACAAATCCTCTAAAATAGAATTCTAAAGTTACCAATGGCAGTAATCGGCAGCAGTAAAACACAACCTATTTTCAATTCGGCTTTTTGGGGGGTGGGGCAGAGATCGACTGAGGGAAGACGGTAATTTTTGAGCTGCGAGGCTGAGGGAACCGCAAGCCTTGTCTTCTGTGGGATACGACCATCCTTGAGAAAGAAATGCCGTGCCTCAAAAATAGGTCAAGAAGACAGGTCCTGAAAACTTCCTCAATGGCTTCCCTCAGGAGGCTGGTTCCTGCCAACACCTGTTCCTAGCTAATCTGGAAATCCCATCAAAACAGCCTTTCTCTCAGCAAACACTGGTGAAAAAAACATACCCTGACAGATCACTTAAATAAGCAGGGCTTTTCTCGAGACCACCCAAGGCCTGGGTGGGCCTGGGGGCTGTCTGTTTTGATTGCTGCAGGTTCCTCCCTCCCCAGGCAACCTTTACGCACCTGGGGCTCCCCCCGCAGTGCCTTGGTGCCACCGCTTTGGTATCTGCTGATTGCAACGGAGGAAGGAAATGACCTCGGATGGAAGGTTATTTTTTAGAGGGCAAGCGTGACGCATGAGAGGCCTGCCAGGGAGGAGGAAGAGACAATGGAAGGAAGGAGAATCTCCCACCCAGACCAAATTTCCTGCTCTTCCATAGCCCACCCCCACCTCCTGTCTCAGATCCCATGTCTATCTTTACCCCTGCAAACATTTTTTTCTCCTTCCGCCCCACCTTCCTCCCCATGCCTGAAGTCTGCAAGGCGTTTTTGTCCAATCCACCCACGCCGCGGAAAGCTCCTGTTTTTCCTAAGTGACTTTTACTTTAAATTTTTGCATTTCCCCGCATCTAACCGTTGGGACGCGGGTGGCGCTGTGGGTTAAACCACAGAGCCTAGGACTTGCCGATCAGAAGGTTGGCGGTTTGAATCCCCGCGACGGGGTGAGCTCCCGTTGCTCGGTCCCTGCTCCTGCCAACCTAGCAGTTCGAAAGCACATCAAAGTGCAAGTAGATAAATAGGTACTACTCCGGAGGGAAGGTAAACGGCGTTTCCGTGCGCTGCTCTGATTCGCCAGAAGCTGCTTAGTCATGCTGGCCACATGACCCGGAAGCTGTACGCCGGCTCCCTCGGCCAATAAAGCGAGATGAGCGCCGCAACCGCAGAGTCGGTCACGACTGGACCTAATGGTCAGGGGTCCCTTTACCTTTACCTTTAACCTTTGAACACAAACGGCCATATTGGTTAGCCCAGTGTTTTCCAAACAGCTGAGAGCAAAGGGATATTCCCACATCCTTCCTCCCTGGATTAAACAGGATTCATGGAAATCATAGCGCTTGGAAGGGAGCTGGGAGGTCGTCGAACAGAGCCTCCTGTGACTCAGGGTGCAACTGTGGCATCCCTGGCAGATATCTGTCTGACCTCTGCCGAAATAGCTCATGTTTCCCGCTGAAAGGGTTTGTGAGAGAATTGCTCACCCTTCGCAGGAGTGCCTTGTGCCGCAAAGGGCTGCCAAATTGATCCAGGGAATGCAGTGTCTCCCCTCTGAGGAAAGTTGCTGTATTGGGGGCTCTTTAGTTTAGAGAACAGCCAAATAAGAGGTGACATGAAAGAAGGTGTGTCAAATTATGTATAATGGGAGAAAGAGTATCTGAAGAAGTGTGCATGCACACAAAAGCTCAAACTAATAACAAACTTAGTTGGTCTCCAAGGTGCTACTGGGGACACGGGTGGCGCTGTGGGTTAAACAACAGAGCCTAGGACTTGCCGATCAGAAGGTCGGCGGTTCGAATCCCCGCAACGGGGTGAGCTCCCGTTGTTCGGTCCCTGCTCCTGCCAACCCAGCAGTTCGAAAGCACATCAAAGTGCAAGTAGATAAATAGGTACAGCTCCAGCGGGAAGGTAAACGGCATTTCCGTGCGCTGCTCTGGTTCGCCAGAAGCGGCTTAGTCATGCTGGCCACATGACCCGGAAGCTGTATGCCGGCTCCCTAGGCCAATAAAGCGAGATGAGCGCCACAACCCCAAAGTCGGGCATGACTGGACCTAATGGTCAGGGGTCCCTTTACCTTTAAGGTGCTACTGGAAGGAATGTTTTTATTTTGCGGAGAAAGAGGACAGAGAGTGGTTTTTCTCCCTATCTCCTGACTCTAGAACTTAGGGATATTAATATTGCACAGTTTGAAGCAACTGGATGCATGAAAACTGACTCCTTTTTGCAAACGAAACATTGTTCAATTAAAACTCTGCTTGCAGAACTTTCTTCAAAACAAAAGCATCAAATGTTACATCCAACCAGTTCCGTAAGACACATGCCGGTCCAAGGCACAGGCTCAGTGCCTTACAAAATACTCCAAACAGACCTAGAAGCAGAGGTCTGTCTCTCCCCACAGCCTGAATCCTGCCTGAGGCTGTGTGCTCTTAGAAAGTTTCATTCGCATCCTCACTCTCACAGAGAACAAAGGACACTCTGGCCACCACCCTTCCAAGATGGCGATTTTGCAATTCAATACCTTTCATGTGATCTAAGGTTAAACACGCCCACATTAGCTAGCAGAAAACAGCAATAGTTAATTATCAACTCCGTTAAAGCTCAGAGTCCCTTAGAACACTGCAGTGGAATTCCCCCAGAGTTACCAATACACATTTAGGCATTCACCATTTCAGTATCAAGTAAATAATTATTTTTAACAATCCTATGGAGCCAAACGTTGGAAGATTGGCTCATAGTTCACTCCCATAAGAGGCAGTGATGGCTACCAACCTGGATGGCTTTAGAAGAGAATTGGGCAAATTCATGGAGGAGAAGGCTTTCAGTGGCTGAATACCAGTTGTTGGGAACCGCAGGAGTGGAGAGGGCTATTGCACTCGGAACTTGCTTGCAGCTGGCCACTGTGAGAACCGGATGCTGGGATAGTTGAGTCCTTGGGCTCTTCTTATGTCCTTGTGGCTCATACCCATCAGTGGAATGTGACCTTGTCTCATCCCCTTTAAAGAGATCCTGGCCAGTAGCCATTACCCCACCTTGTGACAGTTAGTCCCAGGAACCAATGACATGCTCTGCAAGGAGGATGCTCAGTCTGTCTGCCCTGCATCTACAGTGGACGCTTGGGTTGTGAACATGATCTGTGCGGGATGCACATTCGCAACCCGCAGCGTTCGCAACCCACGTCTGCTCATGCACGGGTTGCGATTCGACACATCTGCGCATGCACCAAGCGCAATTTTGCACTCTGCGCATGTGCGACCGCCGAAACCCGGAAGTAAGCTATTCCGGTACGTCCAGGTTTTGGCGGTTTGCAACCCGAAAAAAACACAACCTGAAGCAGCTGTAACCCGAGGTATGACTGTACTGCCAAAGAACTCTGCTGGGTGACTCAAAGCTCAAGCACTGCCAGAGGAGGCGAGAGACCTCCGTTGACTCCCACCCCCCACGCCAGGTATCACAGTTCTGCTGTCAGCCAGGCAAAAGCGACTTTCATAGCAGTGAAAAGCACCTAAGGACAGCCGGGGGGAGGGGAGGGGAGCGATAAAGGTTGGCAGGATGAGAAGCAGATAAAGACTAACTTAGAGCACGCCGGCAGCACTTGCTGGAAAACGTCTAGTGCTCTCTCGCTGGATTTCATGCACTTAGCGCAAAGTGTCGCCCATAATGGTCCTTTGGGAAGGGGGGAGAGCGTCTCCAGATTGCCTATTCCTTGATCGTTCATCCCGATTTGGTTGCACAAAGCTTAAGAGGAAGTTGGATTACATCCGGCCTTTACTGAGCATTTGCTCCAATTCGTTTGCAGGGTGTTTATGCATCTTCCTGTTAGTCGTTCGTTCATCCCACACTTTTCAATGCGTTTCTGTTCCTTTTAAAAAGTGGAATTGTTGTACTAGGGTTATGGAGCTCTTTAATACACTTTAACCGTGCAAAACCTAAATTTCCCAGGATGTGCTGTAATGCCTCCTGCAAAATATGCCTTAGCCTCATTTACTAGTGCATGTTACTAATTCAGGTGTGCTAAAAGTAGTAAAGGCTGGAAACCTTCTTGAACTTACTTACTTACTTACTTATTTACTGCATTTATATCCTAACTTCAGGGACACTGGTGGCACTGTGGGTTAAACCACAGAGCCTAGGACTTGCCGATCAGAAGGTCGGCGTCTCGAATCCCCGCGACGGGGTGAGCTCTCGTTGCTCGGTCCCTGCTCCTGCCAACCTAGCAGTTCAAAAGCACGTCAAAGTGCAAGTAGATAAATAGGTACCGCTCCTGCGGGAATGTAAACAGCGTTTCCGTGCGCTGCTCTGGTTTGCCAGAAGCGGCTTAGTCATGCTGGCCACATGATCCGGAAGCTGTACGCCTGCTCCCTCGTCCAGTAAAGCGAGATGAGCGCCGCAACCCCAGAGTCGTCCGCGACTGGACCTAATGGTCAGGGGTCCCTTTACCTTTACCTTATCCCACCTTCTCGGCAAGGATCTCAAGGTGAAGTAGATGGTTCTTCCCCTCCTCATTTAATTCCACAACAACCCTGTAAGGTCACCCAGAGAGTTTCATGGCTGAATGGGGATTTGAACCCCAGGTCCTCCATGCACAAGGAAAGCTAGTATGTCAGGGATGAAATATCTGGCATGGCTCTTCTCCCAAGTATGTTGGTTCTCCATATGCATGGAGGGAGAACATTTGAACAAGCAATTCCCCAGTGGCAGCCTAAACTGGAACAGACAAACTAAGTCAGGAATGAATTGGCCATAAAGGGAAAAATAAAGTACTGCTGCCATCTTCTGGCCAAAAGGCAAAGAAAGGAAAATGTATGGATACTGAGAGAA